TTCGAGTATGTGGATGGACAGGTTCCATCGTCAGGAAACTAGAGATGCAGCACATGTCGCTCGTATGTGAGTATTAGAAAGAGATGCACGAGAACGCCGGGGTCAGATGCACCGAGAACGCCGGAGTAAGGTGCACCAAGAGCGCCGAGTCAAAGAGTCAAGAAGTGGATGCCAACATCACAACTCGTTAAGACTTTGAACAATCATTTCTTTAGTCTACTGTACGTTTGAGACCGATGTGAAAGGCGATCGCAACTGCGGCTACCGTGCAATTATAGGTGCCTCAAACTGTCCGAATCCGACTGGGCGTTGATCAGGCGAAAACTGCATGCAGAAATTTGCGCAAACTTCGCCTTGGACAGCGCAGTATTTGATGTACATGGGTCTGGCCTAAAAACAAGTTGACGCATTTGGTACCAGAGCAAAGTCCGGTTGAGAAACCCTGGTGGATGGTGCCGCCAGTGATGGGGACGTAGTTGCGAACATATACTAATGTCCTTTCCAATACTATACGTTCGTTGGTGCAAGTATGACCTTTTTGCCGATGACCTGTGGAGTGGAAGTCAACAAACCGCCAATTTTTTCGCGTTTAAGAACGGCAATTATTTTGTTGCACTGGAGATGGATGAAAATTTATTCAGCTTCACCTGTGGTCGCGTACTGGCGTCGACTCGCGTATCCTGTGGCACAGCTATGGGTTGGATATTTTCAGGAAATCCCTCGTTGTGGGAGGCCACTGAGCATGATCCTACCATTACCATAGTAGATTTGGCTGGTGAAAAGGATGGTTCTGGTAGTGAAGAAGCGGAGGAAGTCATAGATCTAGTTACTTTGAGCACCACGGCAACATAAAGTTATTTTGGTTCATGTTGAACATTAATCATTTTTCATTTGTTGCATTCTTGCTTTTCGACTTATATTTTTTTAATTGGCCACGACTAGGGGCACACCCTACTTTTGCTAGGGGCACACCCCATTTCTGCCTTGGACACACTCGTCCTCCTAAACTGATAAAAAGGACTTTACATTTGATGGTGCAGAATAAGTAAAACACGTAGTCACTTACCACTGCTCGATATGTCCCTATCTTCAACGGTAAATGCACTCGTGCGCGAGATTTGATCAATCCATCTTGGCCAGGGCGGTATCCGAACGGCAATGCCTGCCGGTATCTCTACTATCTCGGAGGCGGTATACAATCCAACGGTACGATGCCAAGATCTGACCATCGGCAGTAGCAACGACATCCGATTTTTTACGTGCTCACAGTCACGAGTCGTTTGTAGCCGGACCCACAGCGATTTTCACGAGTCGAGAGCGTAAAGTCGTCGCGGACTTTGCTGAAGATCTCAACATGACACACGCTGCTAACGTGGACATACTTCTGCAAGCGTGAAACAAACTTCGCGCGTGGCTGGAGGCACGCAAGTCGAGAAAGTTTCCAATTGAACGTTTAATTATTGCGTGCAAATTGTGGTACGACTTGCACGAGTCGCCGACGTTACGGCTTGGCGCGTGAACGAAAGAGGACGACAAAGCGGTCCGACGATTGGCCAGGGGACAAGAAGACTCGAAACTGGTGAAGAAGTGGCACGAGATTGCAAAGCGCATGCCAGTGCCGGGATGATCAGCAGCTCATTGTCAAACTCAGTACCAGACAGCGCTGAACGCGGGAAAAGCGCGGTCAACCTTTACGCCTGAAGAAGGTTAGATCCTGCGTGAAGCTGTCCCTGTCTTTGGCGAAAAGTGGAACGTAATTGCAGATTTGATGGATGGCCGTGTGTCGGAGCAGATCCGCCATCGATGCCAGCTCTCGCTTGCACCAGGTCTTCGGTGAGGCAAGTTTTAATTGAGTGAGGATCGACGGCTGCAGCTCGCACTTCGTGCATACGTGCCAAAAGGCAGTGAGTCCAATCAGGATCAAGTGCCGTGGAACGACATTTGTCATCATGTGCCCAGGCGAACACAGCCATCGCTTCGGGACCAATACGTTAAGTGTATCAACCCGGACTTGTCGTCCCGTAAGTTCACCAAGCAAAAAGATGAACTCATTCTTACGGGATAGTGCGAGTGGGGCATTTAGTCGCTCATACTTTGGCCGCGGCTTGCTGCTGAGCTCAGTGGCCGCACGAAATCTCACCTGCGTCGACGCTGGAGACAATTGTATCCAGACGCTTATGACAAACCACGTCGTGCACTGAAGATGCAAGCAAAAGCCGGACAACAGCCGTCTTCCGTCGCCGGTCAATACATCAACATGACCTTCGCTTCAGGATGAAACACATCAAGCGTAGTACGTGTAATGGCCTCACAGTGGAGCAAGTAGCAACCGAGTCGTTTCCGCGAGGCCGTGCAGCTGTAGCGCTGCATAGTTTCGAAGAGTTGGAGATACGCGAAACCGAAGGCCAGGACGGGTCGATAGAGTACGGTCTGTAAAAGGGGCTAATACAATGGACTCAAACCCGCGATACGTGCACAGTGCCTGAAGCCACCAAGAGGCCACTATGCTGCTGACCTATGAGACGCTTTCGAGTCTCTTTTCCGTTTGCCACGCCAAGCTTCAGCGTTCGTCTGTCGCTCGCCGTAAGTTGAGACAAGTGAGAAACCTCACGCAATGCACCACTATGATGTGCGACCTGCGGCGACGGGCACCAAGCAACGAAATGCTGTCGTTTGCAAGAATAGACTGTTGAGGCACAAGAGGTGACGTTTTGCACGCAACAGCCGGATTCGCGTGACGTCGGGCGAGGTACATGAAGGCGTATGTCAAAACGCAGGGACTTGGCATGTGTCTGCCGAATCAAACTCTTGAGGTACGCCAAACAATGCATTATGTTCTATAGGAATTTCAGCTTTCTGAATGACGTCAAATGACCGTTGCGCCGCTACAGCATCTTCAGCACCTCCGCTACTCCACAAAACCAAGTTGACCGAGAGCCAATGCGATGCCAATGAGCACAACAGCGACTGCCCACAGCGCGTGACTGAACTCGGACGTTTTTTTCAGCTGCAGCGGACGCTGCTGGAAAACAGCTTTGCTCTCGGCTGCCTCGGTCTTACCCAGCAAAGGGCCACCCCAGCGTATTTTCTCCTCCTTCTTCTGCTCCGCCACTTTTCCCTTCAGCATCGCCATGGATTTACAGATATTCACATCCGTTGGGTGGTACGTTGCAGCTCGAGTAAGCTGTTACTTATCTTCCTCGAGGCACGGACAAACACGTACCGTGTGCAGTATTTGTCGAATTACAGCTAACGTCTGTGACGAGGTACGTACCTAAACATAAAATGTGAAGACCTTTTTATCAGTTTAGGAGCGCGGGTGTGCCCAAGGCAAAAATGGGGTGTGCCCCTAGTCGTGGCCTTTTTAATTTTGTTTGGTCATTTTTGGCCATATTTGGTCCTTTGTGCCATCACGTCGTTTGTGTCTGCTGTGAGTTTTGGATCTAAGTCATTCGAATGGTCAGAAAAGAGGTGAGTGGTACATAAAAACAAAAGGGTATGGTACGTATAACACTGGCCTTTTAAATTAATATAATATGGTGTCAATTATCTGCAACAGGCTCACTACGTTACAGATGCTCATGTCTACAGCGCAGGGATCATACATATCCTTGCACCAAACCACAACAAGTTTTCAGGCCTTCTGCATGTGTCTAACACGTGCAATTGTAAAGAGAATTAGTGAAAAGTAGCGTCAACAATTTCCAGTGCCATGCCAAATGAATGCATCAAGTCGTTGATACGCAAACCTTAAGGGTCAACAGCTTTAACTTCAGCCACGAGCAGCACCAGGTCCCCCAGTGTTTACAGACTGGCTGAAAATAAACTCTCCACCTAGTACATAAAGGCAAACACGTATAATGGGACAATCTTACTCTGTCTTTCACGCAACGGTCTCATGCGTCACATGGGTCTGCTGTGTCGGATGCGTCACTAAAGCTTACATAATCTGAACTTGTCCCCGCTACGCAGGTAACTTGGCATGATACGCGAGTGGCGCACCCATTTTTCTCTGACATACGAATTCCTACACCTGTAGTTGCCGGCAAGTAAACGGGTAATCTAATGCATCTTTCCGTGAAAAGAGCGAGTTCATGTTCCTGTTCTTGTTGTTACTTATAGCGGTCATTGGGAGCATAACGACGCGGTCAGCGCAAGTGGCGCGATGTAGCTCCACAACTTCGCTCCTGCTCACAAACAGAAGACTGTAAAAGCCGCAGCGTCCAAAATAGATGTCGTCTGTTCTTTGCGTCATCGACATGCCGCAACAACGTCATGTGCTCATACTTGTGTCGCTATTAGTTACAGCCGCCGGTAGTCCATCCTGCTTCAATACATTTTATTGGACCGGTTGCTCACTGGACAGTCGAGGAATCCATTATTGACTCTGTTCTCCGAACAAAACTTGCAGGTACTGCATATGAACGATCTTGGCTGCACGATTGGCGTCTATGCTCGAACATTAGCGATTCCCAAGCATCTATCGCAATATCCCTCACCTCATGTTGCTCTCTGGCGATGCAAAACGAACAGCTTTGCACATTCTTCCCTGTCGCTGCAGTACTTCCTTTCGATCTTGTTCCGCTGCACCCACCACGACCTGGCGAGTCATTATGCCGCGACATGGCTGACAAATCCCGGGACCCACGAGCGACAAAAGGTAGCGATACTCGCTGCGCAGCAAGCGGGAAGCTATTCCCGTCAGCGCCTATCCGTTACGCATACAAGCCTTCGTGCTACTTTTCGCTGGAGATCTCGCGCAACAGCAGACTTGACACTCTGCGAGCGCAGCTGAGGTGCTGGACCGCGCATACCAACTTCTCTGGCCGCTCGAAGCGTTGCCCGAGTTGTCTTGCCAGTTGTCGCAAATCCACTGGACCCCAAAGGCATAACACGCACAGCACCAATCGCTCAAAACACACGAGATCGACTGTCTATTACCCTTTTGGCTCTGTGGCATGTCGTCATCGAATACAAACGCACGGTATGGACGCAATTTGCTAGCCAAACTTACTCGCCCCTCCACCAGTGGCCGAACGACGCACGTGCAGCGAATTGTACATAAACGAATCGGCAAAGCCAGCAATCTGTAGACAAACACAATCAACACATGGATATCGTGAGTCCAGCTCGCTGTAGAGCTGCGAGTTTTTCTGTATGCACTCAACGCACCGAGATGACGCCGCCCACGATGGCACACACTTTGGTGAGGAAATGCGTGAATGGCATGCGCTTATTCTCCACCTTCACCATAAAAGGCGACAGGTCGTACACGAAAAAAGTGCCTGCAACGTATATCACCAGAAGAACCGAAACAGTGTAAACGTCACGACCCTGACAACACAACATAAAGAATATCGGCGTGCTATTTTTTCGTACCCGGCAGCGACTTCATCTGTCCGAAGGGGCCCATATAGTTGCTCTGCTGCGTGACCGCAAACTAGTTCGACAAAGCATATGGTCACTTCAACAGGCATCAAATCACTTTTGACAAGACAATTGCACGCACCTGGTACGAGTAGATCGGCTTGTCGTCAACACCACCGTAGATCGTGGGCACGATCTTGATGTAATACTGAAACACGCCGCCATCTATATGATACCGAGCAAGAGAAAAAATACACAAACAGAAACAATATTAGTGGGCTACTTCAAGTGACGCTCCTCACCATGCAGTGCATTCGCGTACGCTGTGCCGCAATCTTCAATACTCCGTCAAGAGGACCAGCGACACCAGCCACGGGCTCGCCAAACGATAAGCTGTGAATGACGTGGCTCGAGTTGTACGAGTACTCCTCGCCCGGTCGAAACTGGTGCATAAGCTTTCCCTGTCGATGGAACGTATGTCCAAGTGCCACGTGAAAGTTGCCGGCCACGCGGTTCAAGAGCATAGTGCCTGTGAACCGACAGCCTTCGCCGTCCTGCGCCAGTGTCTCTTCTTCCACGCTCTCGCGCACACACTGTGCCTTCTGGCTCGCTTCCTCCAGCGATTGGCCACTGCTCACGAACGCTTCCTTCACGTCGTCACACGTGTTGCAGCAGCTTTTGCCTGCCGGGTGCGTAGCTCCGTAGCAGCTGCCACAGGCGTCCACTGCTTCGTCTGCCTTCTCGTCTCCTGGTGCACTCGCCGTCCCGTCTTTGCGCATTGCAATGGGCCGTCCAATCGCCTGCCCGCGGCTGTCCAGACGGGTCTTGACCATTGTCTGGTGCATGTTCACCTGCAGCTCCCCCGCGACGTCCATCGCGTTCATGTGCGCGTCGCGGCAGTTGAGCGCCAAGTAACTAATGTCCACATGCGCCTGTAGCTTCGCATTGAGCGACGCGTCCACGACCATATGCTCGTGCGTGTTGGGCCGCCAGTACGCGTGCAGCTCCGACGTCAAGAGCACGAGCATGACCAGACCTGCGAGTAGGGAGACCCGCGCGCCCCACTCGGTCTGCACGTTGAACTCGCAGTGCATCTTCGGGTACACGTCGACGGTTTGCAGCACGCGACGCGCGGAACGGGTCACGACGTTCTCGTGCGCGTCGCCCGCGCTGGCGGTCGCGTCGCTCGGGACGGCGCGCTGTCGCATGCTGTCGTACGCGCAGGGGGTGTCGATAATGGGCTGCGTGGCATTCGGCGGCGGCTGCGCGCACCTTCGCGCGACATGACAAAATGGCTCGTGTGGACCACGTCGAGTGTCCCCTTCGCGCAACCGCCGCACGGGCGCGCGACCGACCGACGGACTGACTGACTATTGACGCAGGTGCAAGTGGCTGTTGCAGCAGTTGTGGGTATAGCCGTCGAGTTCGGAGACAAAGTGTAGCGAGCGGCAGTCGCATTGGAGCGAGCAAATGGACCGAATGGATCGTGTTAAGTTGTCGATTTGAGAGGCGAACATAGAAATGAGTGCGTGTGTTGCTGTGACGAACGCAGAAGAGGAGGACAGCGATGTGGACGCGTGGGCGGTGGAGCTTGAGGCGGCGCTGGACTGTGGACGGGGTATGAGGGGCTCATACTGTGGGGAAGAGGGTGTGGCGTCTCGCGAGATTTGTAGTCAATTGTCGTCGCTTCTCGTCGCGACTCACGGACATTTTGCGTCCCTTGGACTCGAAAGCAGTGATACTGGCGCCGGATGTGGAGGAGGAACCCTATGCAGCATACGGTCAGAGGTGCGGGTGAGCAGAGGAATTGGTGATAACTCGGCATGGGCTCGGGCAACCACTAACGCGTGTGCTTTGCCTCATGCGTTGTGGAATGATCCGACGAACGCAGCCACTTGTTTACGAAAGCGTACGCGCACAAGGCACGAACGCTGCTATTCACCCTGAAGGATGCACAGAACGTCGACCTGTACAACCGACTCGTGTCGGGTGAGCTGCCGACGCAAAGTCTGGTGCGCATGAGCGGCCCCGACATGGCCAATCCGCAGCTCGTGCGTCAGCGGAAGGAGTGGATCAAGAAGCGCACGCACGAAGTGATGCGCGAAGGTCGCGAAGTCGAGGGCTTTGAGTCGAATCTGTTTGAGTGCCGCAACTGCGGCAGCTCACGGACACGCTATCGCCAGTGGCGTCGCAAAGCTGTGGTAGACCGTACGCGGATCATCATCATATGTCTGAGGTGTCCGTATCGATGGGAGCTGTCGCCGGCTGGTAGAGCACCAGGACCGAGCCGTTCTCCGGGAAGCAAATGCAGCATGAGGCGCTGCAGGTCGTGTGCAGCACTTATGCGAATCGGTCAAATTGCTGGACACTATCACTGTCATGAACAGCTCCGAAGCCGGCGACTACGAGACTTTTTCATCATCAAGCTGTACGTCAATCGCGAGTAAGTCGTTGCTGCGTTGGCACATGTGAGTCGCTCGTACAGCGTTGACGTCCACGCTAACTCGTTGTCGTGCAGGTACGCTACGCAGGAGTTCGACTTTGGCTTGGCACTGCAGAAGCTGCGATGCGCTCACGCCGCTTCCACGGACCACGACCTCACAGGTCAAGTCGTGTGGCTAGTCTCAGCTTTCCTAGCATGGTACCTCGTGGCCCACCGTGAGGAACTTGCTGGCAAGACAGTCGTCGAACTGGGCGCTGGCACAGGCCTCAGTGGTCTTCTCGCGTCTCAATTGCGTGCGTCTTTGCTCTTCTGTGTATCGCGTTGTTCGGCTCGTAATGCCTTTGGGCGTGTGTCGGAACAGAGCTCACACCGCCTTGACGGACGGCAACGACATTGTGCTGGAGCTGCTGAAAGAAAATGCCGAGACAAACGCCGACCCGAGCAAGTGCAGGTAATGCCGCTGCTGTGGGGTGAACGTGCGAGCGTTGAAGCTTTCGAACGCGCGTTTTCTCACCCCGTGGACGTGCTCATTGGCGCCCACGTCATGTGCTGGCCCAATCTTGTGAAGCCTAATCTGCAGACGATCAAGTACTTGCTGTTGCGCTCGCGCGAACGAACCACTGGCGACCAAGTTTTGCTGCGGATTCGTGTGCTGTGCGCAGTCGACAGAAGATCTGCTGTACAAAGAGACATCGGCGTTTGTCGTTCGGTTCGAGCGCGTCCAAGAAGACACATTTCTTCCTGCGCCGCGACCAGCTGATGTGATCTCGAACCGTGAACTGCAGCTGATCGTGTCAACGTTGGACCCGCACAAGGCTAATAATTGGGACGAGTCCGTAACATTTGGTGACGATGAGCTGAAAAACATGCAAATTGTTTGCTAGAGCAAGCTGTGTGCGAGAACGCAAAGCGGGAGGAAGAGAGAGGATTCTTGCATAGAATCTTGATGCACAAGTGATGAGTTTGCGTCTCTTTGCTTGTAGAAAAGTATCTGCAGACAACACAGGTCACCTCAATGTGCAGTCGTCATTCGATCAACGCCGTCATTGTTGCCCAATATAACAAACACAAACGCTCGATTTTGCCGGCTGACTTCAGCCCGTTACTAGGAGTCTCGCCATTCGTTGAAATGGCCTCCGCCAATATGTTGGTGGTGCTTCACTCGGCTCATCTCATACCGATGACGTTGCTAACCTGTAAGACTCTGATGAACGTGTGAGCCTAGCATTTGCGCCTCTTCGCTAACTCTGCAATCGCCAAAGCTTTGTACCGGAAGGCACAGCTCTCCAGCGTGCAGGTCACGACATGCTGTTATGTTTTGCAGCTAAAGGTCAACTCCTGCTCAACTTCTCTATATCCAAACAACTACAAGGCACACATACGCAAGAGGCCTAGCTAGATACGTACCCAAATGCATCTCATTTGCCATCGACACAGCAGCGTAACCTGATCATGACCCGTCGCGGGTCACGACAAACACACTGCGGACAGTTTACGCACCGCATTGCAGCTCTTTCGACGGCATTTTTCATACCCACGACTCGATCTCTAGCTGACGCAAATGGATACACTCACGTGAGTCACAACCGTTGCAACCGTCCGCGCAACAGGCGCTCTCTGCAGCTCACAGAATCGCAAATAGGTTGCAACGACGTCGCAACGAGTGGGACCAATGCGACAGCGATGCAGCACATACGGTGCGCCTTTTTACAGAGCTCCGAATGATGTTGCGCGACAGCAAAAGGATAACTTCTATCCAGTGGCCGAGTTAAGCACTGGAACTGGGACCGGCAGATACCTGGATCGATACCAATGGGGGAGGCTAGATCACTGGAGCCGGAGATAGGCCAATTTGTCGACGAGCAAACTTATAATGAGATGGCCGCCCTGTCAACCCGCACATCCGGGGGAGAATAGTTGGGTGGGCTGGAAGCCCCACTAGCCCGAGAATCCCCACAGTATAATGTGGGGTGCGGTCCTCTAAGGAATACGAGTCCATCGTGCTCGCGCAAAACTTCGGGTACACTGAAGGAATCCGCGGCCGAAATTTCCGGTAAATACGCGGCATGCACATGGACTCGACACTCGCTCGACTTTTTGCTCAATAGTCGACGCTCTGCAGGATCCAGCGTCGATACACTTTGTGCGCTTGGCCGCAATTTTTTCTTCTGGAACGTCTGTGTGAATTGCTTCTCTATTGTTCGCTACTTCAGCTGCAGTCGACGATGTTGCATGCCATGTCGTTCACATAATGTAACTTAAAACAGCTGTCGAGTTTGTTTTGGCATCCGGCACATATGTATTTTACACGGCAGCTGTTCAGGTATCGTTTTGCGTTTATTGTTTGTGCGTTTTATACACGTAAAAAGCACGAGAGAAAGAAACAATATCAGCTTTTGTACGGGACCTTTTTTGAACCAGATTCTACACACAAAATAGACCATTGTACGTCGTCGGTAGCAATTCTTGGCTCACTTGTGCGCATCGAGAGAATTACCACTTGACCCAAAGGTCATATCTCAAACATAACGGACTCGATTTGTGTCCAGCTTCCACGAGCGCGGCCCGGCACATTGCTCTGCTCATGAGGCCCTTTCACCGGCTCCTGCACGCGCTGCTGCTGCTACTACAATACCTCGTGGTGACCAGAGCCTCTACTGTGTGGCAGTCTTCTTCCTCCACGAACGACGGGCCACGTGGCGCACCGCACCGACAAGAGCAGCAAATGGTCTCTTTGTCTTCTTCTTCTTCTCCTCCTCCTTCTACTTCGACTACTACTTCTTCTTCTACTGCTGCTCCTTCTTTGCTTGTATCGGTATCCCCATCTGCCTACAACGAGACGACGGCGCTGTATTTGGCCCACGTCACGTCGGTCGCCTATTGTCAAGACGAGCATATTCTCCACTGGAATTGCCAGCCGTGCAGTCTCGTGGCGCGCTTAGAAGACGTGACAGTGGTCGAGGACGCGAAAGATGCGTTTCAGGGCCTCGTGGGCTACTCCCCGCTGTATGGCGCTGTGGTTATTGCGTTCCGAGGGAGCATGGACGTCACGAACTGGCTCGACAACCTCACGTTCCTCAAGACGCGCGCGTACAAGCAGTTTCCACGTGTCATGGTGCATCAGGGCTTCTATTGGGCCTACCGGTCGGTGGCCCTGCAGGTAATGTCGGCACTCCAGAAGCTGCGGCAACAGTACCCCGATGCGTTGCTAATGGTCGCAGGGCATTCGCTGGGAGGGGCCGTGGCAGCCATTTGTGCCTTTGAGCTCGAGTTCATTGAAATGAAGCCTGTCGCGGCGCTTTATACGTTTGGGAAACCCCGAGTTGGCAATACCGAATTCAGCGCAAAGTTGCGAAACGCCAGCATGGCAACATACCGCGTGACGCATTTCCAAGACATTGTGCCCCACCTCCCACCGACGTGGACTGGATTCGAACACACCTCGGAAGAGGTGAGTGCTGTTGCGGCTCATCACGACGAGACTTAAGGACCTGTGTGTTGACAGCGCGGCCTTTTGTGTTTGTACTCTAGATTTTCTACGACCAATTTTCGACAAGCTACCGGAACTGCAGCCTCACAGACGGCGAAGATCCCAGTTGCTCCAACACGTGCTCGCCGTTTCGCTGTACTAGCGTTGTCGACCACCTCACGTACTTGAATATTACAATGAGCCATCTCGTCTGCTAATTTATACTGGCTCGAGCAACATAGACTCGCGTGATGAGGAAGGCATTTATTTTTACATTCGATGCGATGCAATTGATTTCAATGTCCCCGTGCTATCTTATCTGGTTCCCGTGACTATTGTCGCTGAAGTTGCTGGCTCTGGTATTTTCCTACGTCGAATTGCAATAGCGTGAATCTCGACTGTACTTCTAGACATAAAGCATGCATTGTAACAAAAGAGTCAATTTAACATGTCCACACAAGCGCGACGTTGCATTGCGATCGTTGTGCAATTATCCCTTCACAATGCTCGCTTTCCCTACTATTTGCTAGCACGTACGCGAGCACTCTTCTTCACTCAGACGAGTTGCACCAGCCATAAGAGCTTTTACGCACCTCGTCAAACCTGGTTTTTGTCGGCTCGATAAGCACTGCTGGAACAGCAATATACCGGCCTTTTTCGTTCAAGACAATGACGGAGCTCATCAACTTTCAGTAGCGTTTCATTAGTTGTTGTGCTGCTCTCATCGTCAAGTGGGGGATGCCTATCAAGGCCATGCGCATTCTAATTCGTAACGGCGTAAAAGCGATGAAGCCGCCAGTGAGAAAGAAGGAGCACGCTGAGATCCTCTGCATGTGATCATTGAAGCACGTAAAAAGCACTAGGTCCCAACGTCGGTGAAGCCGCAGAGCCGAAATACCGATCCAAAGCGAGACCTTCGTCAAGTTCGTATAGCTGGAGATATCAATCGACACTCGGAACCGCACCTTAGACCACCAATCAGTGTATATGCCACCTGTAACGGGGCAGCCCGTTACATGAAATTGTCACTTTAAGGAAAGTGACAATAAAGAATATAAAGATGGATATTCTTTAAAACAATATCACCAAAGTGGTGATATTGAAGGGTCGACCAAAGGGTCTGTTCATTGGTTGATATCGTGATGATATCAACCCACCAATCGCCGCAAGACGCGCGCAATGAGTGGTGACGAGACGTCACCATACATGCAGTTATATTAGTATAATTGAATTAAGTCAAACGAAGAGACAGTAGTTTAAAGACTTAATTTATTAATATAACAGTTCTACTTTTACCCTACCTACGCTTCCTCGCTTGCCACGTGTACGTCCGTCGGGGCACCCAAATCCCTTGCGTTAAGTTACGCAAGGGTGTGCCCCGTTACACCTGGTAGCACTTTGTAGTCCTTCCAAGGACCACATCATCCAACATGAACATGTTGGATGAAGAAGACACCTTTCACGCCACGCGTGAAGGGTCTACCCATTTGAGTGACATCGAATGGGGTGCGGTAGAACGAATGAGTTCTACCGTAGGCGAACTCGTCGTCAGCACCATGTTGGAGTCTCTAGACAGAGACCAACAACATGCCGCTATCGCCAAGTTCATTCAGAATGAACTTGCTCTCGAGAGGGAGAAAGTAGCCTTGCTTCACCAGCAAGGCTCTCAACAGGCCGAGCAGTTGAGAGAACTCGGTGCTCAACAGACGGAGCTGTTGAGACAGCAGCAATTCCATGCTGCTGTGGGCGGGACGGCGCATGCGCGTTGTCCCGAAGTCATGAAATTCGACATTTCCAAGTACAGTGGAGTCCCGGAGGACTCCCTGTTACTATGGTTTGTCGAACTCGACAGAGCCCTAAGGGCTCGTCGCGTCGAAGATGAGCAAATGAAACTCACATTTGCTCAGACCCACTTGGCAGGGCGTGTCAAAACTTGGTCCCTGGGACTCGAGAGTAGCGACCCAAATGTGTTTAGGTCGCTAGATGACTTCAAGTCCCGGCTTAGACAAACGTTTGAGCCGCCACGTGCTGAGTTCAGGGCTCGCTCAGAGCTCCTGAAACTCAAGCAGGGTAAGCGTGATGTGCACGCTTACGCACAACATATACGACTCCTTGCGAGTAGTATAACTGCCAACCCAGTACATGAACACACGTTGATTACGGTGTTCATGCAAGGGCTCGCAGAAGGGCCCGTCAGGAGCCACCTGTTCCGCCTTGAGCTGAATACGCTTGAAGAAGCGATATCAGCCGCGGAACAGGAAGACTTTAGCATGAGACAGGCTCATGCTAGCTCAAACTCTTACCGTCCACCGAGACGACAAGAGATCGGAGGTCCAGAACCAATGGACCTCTGCTATGTTGAGAGCGAGAGACCTCGCTCTACAAACAACAAGCGATTGCAGAGGTGCAATCGCTGTCAGAAGTTAGGGCACTACGCATACGAGTGTAGTGCTCCACGCCCAGTACCAAACAGTACTGAGCGAAATGGACGACCTTTTGCCAGAAAGGGCAATGGGCGTGGGTCCAGCGCTGTTGCGAAGCCGCAACAGCGAGACGGACCATCAAAAAATGGTCGGGGTCAGTAGGGGCGGAGCGCCCTACTGATCCAGCAACCTCAAGAGAATTTGCAAATCTCTTGACGAAAGTTGCTCCAGATACACAATCATTGTGTGTCTCTGCACCTGTTGATGACGTTTCGCTCATCACCTTGAAGTTGGAAGCGACAAATGATTTGTCGCTTCGTGCCCTAGTAGACTGTCGGGCGTCGAACAACTTTGTTCGTCGCCAGTCACTAGAGGGTCGTAGGCTCAAGTTCGTTGAGCGCGACATTCCCCTCACAAGGATGACGGTGCGCCTTGCAACAGGCGCATCGATAACCGTTGAGAAACGTGTAGTAGGAATCCACTACACGTTAGAGGGCGAACAGTACGATGATGACTTCATCGTACTAGATCTGGATGACAAAATTGATGTCATCCTGGGATTACCTTGGCTCAGAAAGTACGAGCCAAGAGTGAGCTGGCAGCATCGATCCGTGAAGATGCCTGATGCTTGTTCATCAGATGGCCATCTGATGAACATCTTGGAGCGTCCACAAGCGTGTGGATGTTCTGCGAGTGAGTGCGATGGCCTCACTTGCGGTACGGTCGTTAGCACGACTGCACAAGATCACAGTGTAGTTGATCACTACACTGTGGAGCAAGCTCCCGGCGGCTGTACAGAAGTACAGGCTGCGCCGAAGGTTCACCACTCGAATAAGTCGAGTGGACCGGGACATGGATGCATGCCTAGCGGGCAGCATCTTAGAAGAAAGAAGTCTGTTGCCCCCAAGGGGCAACATGGAAATCCTAGGTCGACTGGAGAGTCGACCGTAGAGGATCGGTTCCTGACTGTGGTTGCACAGCCACAGTCGGAAGACGTCGAGGGAATAAGTCCCCACGTACTTGAGGAAGGAATTCCTCAAGAGTCGCTTGCTGAGGGATTAGGCCCTCAGCTACCTGTGGAAGCAAGTTCCCAGGAAGAAACCGAGACGTTGAACGTCTTGGTTAATGACGGATCAAGCGTAGGCGCTTATACGCTTGATCTGATTGTGCCTCCGAAGTTGACTTCGGAGATAACTCAGTTGCCAACGCTAGAACCGAAACGGTTCTTGCGTGATCTGCGTAGTGGCAAAGTCAAGCAGATCTGCGTACTCGTCACAGAGGACGAGTATGTGACCGACATTCGGTCGGCAACAGTATTTGCTGAGAACGAACGGGTTCTCAGCAGCTCATCGATGGACGAAAGTGTCCTCGATGAGAAGACTCGGATTGAGCGATACGCGTCCCAATCCTGGGAGTCACTTCAGGCAAATCCTTTGTATAAGGATTTGATCGAATTCAGGGATGTGTTCCCTGAATCCGTACCTTGCGAGTTGCCTAAGGACAAAGGCACTCGACACGAGATCGAGCTCAAACCGGGCTCGAAATACTGTGTCATGAAGCAGTGGCCACTGCCTCGTGAACAAGTGATAGCGATCGACAAGTTCTTTGCCGATCGCTTAGCAGCGGGCCATGTGAGGGAATCAACATCCCCTCACAGCTCTCCGACCTTCTGTGTGCGAAAGGCCACAGGAGGGTGGCGGATAGTGCACGCATTCAACAAGTTGAATGCTGCAACGGTACCGGCTCAGACGCCGATACCGAGGAAGGACGTAATCATAGATGGTATGTCAAAGAGTACCATCTTTTCGTCCATGGATCTGATGGATGGATTCTATCAGATCCTGATGCGTGAACGGGACGTCCCGTTCACAGCAGTGAGTACCCCCAGCGGGATGCTGTGGGAGTGGCTAGTGATGCCACAGGGGCTGAGTAATGCCCCTGCAACATTCAACAGATGTGTAACAAATCTGTTGAGACCGGTGCGAGACTTCGCACCGAGTTACTTCGACGATGTGTTCGTCCATAGCCGGGATATGGACGGAAAGACGGACGTTGAAGTTCACAGAACTCACGTTCGTCAGGTTCTTCAACTTATGCGCAAGCATAAGTTGTACGCTAACCTCAAGAAGTGTATATTCGCGGCTAGCGAAATACCACTTCTTGGGTGCATCGTGGGTAAACACGGTGTACGCCCTGATCCCGAAAAGATCAAGGCGACCACCGACTGGCCAGTGCCAGTCGATGTCAAGGGACTAAGGAAGTTCCTTGGTCTTGCGGCGTACTTGCACAAGTACTCGCGCAACTACGCCGAGATGACTGACCATCTTTCTTGCTTGCTCAAGAAAAATGTCAAGTGGTCATGGAACGCTGAGTGCCAGCGTTCCTTTGAAGGTATCAAGCGGAGCTTGATGCAATCGCCGATCTTGGCGATTGCAGATCAGGACAGACCATTTCATGTGGTCTGTGACGCCAGCGATTTCGCAATCGGCTGTGCGTTAATGCAGTTCGATGCAGATGGCGAGGAGCGCGTCATCTGTTATCAGTCGCGTCAGCTGCAAGCAGCTGAGCGTAATTACCCAGTGCATGACAAGGAACTTCTTGCCATGAAATACGCACTGGCTAAGTTTCGCGTCTATCTCTTGGGAGATAGACCTTTTGTTGTCTACACGGACCATGCGTCATTACGCACGGCCGTAAACAGACCACACCTCTCGCAAAGAATGGCGAGGTGGCTGTCTTTCTTCGCGGAGTATAACTTCTCCGTGGAGTATAAACCGGGACGACTCAATGTCGTC